TCACCATCGATCAAGTTGAGCCTTGGACTGAAATTGTCCGCCGATTTGTGACAGGCGCTATGTCCTATGGATCCATTTCCATGGAGTCTCACTCAACCTTGGCTATTGCTATGAACCGTCTCGGAGGCAAATCCAACACTGGAGAAGGAGGTGAAGATCCCGAGCGAAGCAAGAGAATGGAGAATGGGGACACCATGCGGTCTGCCATCAAGCAAATCGCTTCCGGCCGTTTCGGTGTGACATCTCATTATCTAGCCGACGCTGATGAACTGCAGATCAAAATGGCTCAAGGTGCTAAACCTGGCGAAGGTGGTGAGCTTCCGGGTCATAAAGTCGTTGGCCCTATTGCTCACACCCGTTATTCCACTCCTGGCGTCGGTCTGATATCACCGCCCCCTCACCACGATATTTATTCAATTGAAGATCTCAAGCAGCTCATCTATGACCTCAAATGTTCCAACCCTCGTGCACGTGTTTCAGTTAAGCTCGTGTCGGAAGTCGGCGTTGGTATTGTTGCCTCTGGTGTTGCCAAAGCCAAAGCCGATCATATTCTGATCTCTGGTCACGATGGTGGTACTGGTGCTTCTCGTTGGACTGGTATCAAGTATGCCGGTCTACCTTGGGAATTGGGCCTCGCAGAGACCCACCAGACCCTTGTTCTCAATGATCTACGTGGTCGTGTCGTTGTGCAGACTGATGGTCAACTCCGCACTGGCCGCGACCTTGCTATCGCTTGTCTCCTCGGTGCCGAGGAATTCGGCTTTGCTACAACTCCCTTGATCGCCATGGGATGCATCATGATGAGGTTCGTATAACTGGTAAAGGCTATATTAGTTATTTGTTTTACTGATAATTGTTTAGAAAATGCCACCTGAATACTTGCCCCGTCGGCATTGCTACTCAGGACCCTGAACTGAGGAAAAAGTTCTCAGGCACGCCGGAGCATGTTATCAACTTTTTCTACTACGTTGCCAATGAAATGCGCGCTATAATGGCCAAATTAGGTATTCGTACCGTGAATGAAATGATTGGGCGAGCTGAGCTACTCAAAACCAGGGATGACATCCGGACTGCTAAGCAGGAGAGGATCGATCTTTCGCTCATTCTGACTCCTGCTCATTCTTTACGCCCCGGCGTTGCTACATACAATGTCCGCAAGCAGGACCATCGTCTGCACACTCGCCTCGACAATAAGCTGATTGCAGAGTCTGAACTTGCCCTTGAGAAGGGTCTTCCCTGTAGGATTGAATGTGATATAGTTAACACTGATCGTGCGCTGGGCGCCACACTCTCTTACCAGGTCAGTCGCCGCTTTGGTGGTGAAGGTCTTCCGCAGGATACTATCCACGCCAACATCAAGGGCTCTGCTGGCCAATCGTTTGGCGCTTACCTCGCCCCCGGTATCACCCTTGAGCTTGAGGGTGACTCCAACGACTATGTTGGTAAGGGTCTGTCGGGAGGTCGCCTCATTATCTATCCTCCCCGCGGTGCTGCCTTCAAAGCAGAGGAGAACATTATCGTTGGTAACACTTGCCTCTATGGTGCTACCAGAGGTACTTGCTTCTTCCGTGGTGTGGCCGCTGAGCGTTTTGCTGTTCGTAATTCAGGTGCTACTGCAGTCGTTGAGGGTGTAGGTGACCACGGCTGTGAATATATGACTGGAGGTCGTGTACTCATTCTTGGCTCAATTGGCCGTAACTTTGCTGCTGGTATGTCCGGTGGTATTGCCTACGTCCTGGATATGGATCAGGACTTCCACTCAAAAGTCAACATGGAGATGGTGGAGGTCTCCGGACTGGAAGATCCAACCGAAATTGCCTTTGTCCGCGGTCTCATCGAGGATCACCACCACTACACTGGCTCAGAACTGGCTGCTCGCATTCTACTGGACTTCACCCGTGCTCTTCCTCACTTTGTCAAAGTCCTACCTACCGATTACAAGCGGGTGATGGAGGAGGAAGCTGCCAAAGCTGAAGCTGCTAAAAAGGCCGAGTTCACTGTGCCCCAGCTTCCTAGCACACCTTCCACCGCTGAGAAGCTCAGGGCGGGCGATACCAAGAAGGCTGAAATGCTTGACATTGAGGATAGCGTGAACGATTCAAAGACCGAGAAGAAGCGGTCAGCACTCATCCTTGACAAGACAAGGGGCTTCATGAAGTACAACAGGCGCAGTGAGAAATATCGAAACCCTGGTACTCGTACACGTGACTGGGCCGAGCTTTCTAGCCGTCTAACTGAGGATGAGCTCAAGTATCAGTCTGCCCGCTGTATGGACTGCGGTGTTCCTTTTTGCCAGTCTGACACTGGTTGCCCCATCTCTAACATTATTCCTAAGTGGAACGAGCTCGTTTTCCAGAACCAGTGGCAGGATGCCCTTAACCGCTTGCTCATGACCAACAACTTCCCCGAGTTCACCGGCCGTGTCTGCCCTGCACCTTGTGAAGGTGCCTGCGTTCTGGGGATCAATGAAGACCCTGTTGGGATCAAGTCTATCGAATGTGCTATCATTGACCGTGGTTTTGAGATGGGATGGATGGTACCTCGTCCTCCTAAGGCCCGTACCGGTAAGACCGTTGCCATCATTGGCTCCGGCCCGGCTGGTCTCGCAGCTGCGGATCAGCTAAACCGCGCTGGCCATAGCGTTACCGTATACGAACGTGCAGATCGTATTGGCGGTCTTCTTATGTATGGTATTCCCAACATGAAGCTCGACAAGAAGGTCGTGCAACGTCGCGTCGATCTGATGGCTGCTGAGGGCGTCAGATTCGTGCCCAACACTGCCGTTGGTCCTGATCAAGAGGTTTCTTTGGACTCCCTACGTAGGACGAACAATGCTGTTATCATCGCCACTGGTGCCACTGTGGCTCGAGATCTCAAGGTTCCCGGCCGAGAACTGGAAGGCGTCCATTTTGCCATGCAGTTCTTGCACAGAAATACTAAATCGCTCCTTGACTCTAACCTCACTGATGGCGCATATATCTCCGCCAAGGATAAGCATGTTGTTGTCATTGGCGGTGGTGATACTGGAAATGATTGCATTGGTACTTCTGTTCGCCACGGTGCCAAGTCTGTTACCAACTTCGAACTACTTCCCCAGCCGCCTCCAGAACGTGCCCGCGACAACCCATGGCCCCAATGGCCGCGCATCTACCGTGTTGATTACGGTCACTCTGAAGTCAAGACTCACATGGGCAAGGATCCCCGTGAGTATTGTGTCATGTCCACGGAGTTTGTCGACGACGGTAATGGCCATGTCAAAGGTATCAACACTGTTCGTGTTGAGTGGACTAAGAGCGCTTCTGGAGGTTGGGATATGAAGACAGTTGAGGGCAGTGAACAGTTCTTCCCTGCAGACCTTGTCTTGCTGTCCATGGGATTCCTTGGACCTGAAGACCGCCTTCTGGGTGATGAGATTGAACGTGATGCTCGCAAAAATGTCAAGACACCTCCTGGTCAATATTCCTCTAATGTTCCTGGTGTTTTTGCTGCTGGTGATTGCCGTCGTGGACAATCTCTCATTGTCTGGGGCATCAACGAGGGCCGTCAGTGTGCTCGCGAAGTCGACACTCATCTTATGGATATTAGCTCTCAGCTTCCTGTTACTGGCGGTATCGTTCGTAGACCTGCTATTGATGCAGTTCGGCAGTCTACCGAGCAAGCGGTTTCCGCATGATTTTCTCTGAGACCTTCAGATTCTCCAGAGCCGGACATTTTCCAGTCATGAAGCCATGGCTCATGATTAAAATGGCTGTAGATTATTGTGTTATGATCGAAAAGTTTCCTTAACCGGCAAAACTAATGTTGGTTGAAAATCTGTATCATGGCAATTGATCAACAGCTACGACTGCAGTTACATTGACATGTTAGCAGCAATGGTACAACACTCCCGGAGAGGTTTACTAAATGCTTTGTTGTTTTGTTTATTCAAGCCTATACCGTTTTGGTTCCTGCTCTTTTTTCCGTTTTGCAACAGTGTCCCTTTGCGTTTTGTTGCGGTGTCTTCCTCATAGAACTGCTATGCAAAAATGGGGTCGGAGCGTTTGCGATTCAGTGTATCTTTTCTATAATTCGCTGTACATACCTACTTCTTAGGCAATATGTTGGAAATTCGATGACATAAATCGTTATGGACTGATACATTACGGGGCGACCTGCTTTTAGCTGATCGATGTCGTAGTGCACCAATCGAATGGTGATATCTGCACGGGAGAACAGACTGCAAAAATGTGCCTAATATTTAGAGGCCAGAAGATAATCTTATCTACCGCGGGGCGATTCTAAAGAGCCTTGTATCTTCATTTCCAGGTCTTATCTCCAGGTATTCTTGCCCTTCGATTTGCCTCGCGACCCATGAACTCATCGTCGACCTTTATGATCCAATCTAAGCCAGCCTCGTCATCAGCCGCCCTCAAACAGTCATAAAGATATTCCAACCGTTGATCAGCCAGCTCGATCATTGCCCATAAATTTTTGTAATACATCGACCGGTCCAATGATGTCTGGGACTTGAGTATGGGTTTGCGGTGTGATGCTCTCTCGTCGAAATAGTTTGGATAGTACCCCTTCCTGGGACGGTCAGGGAGTTGCACCACCGCGCCCCAGTGAACATGTTTTCGTAGCTTATGTCTTCGAATATGGTTATGAGCCTCATCTGCATGTGGTAGTAGTGGGGTTGGTCGTGCATTCGACTGTCCATGTCGACGTGACTTTGTGCGATAAGCACTGTGGAATAAAATGGAATGTATAGCGTGGTATATTCGTGAATCCATCAGACGGACAAGGCGAAACACATTCTAGAAACTATGCGGGGGTTTGTGGTTTAGTTCTACCACTCTAACTTCTAACTTTCTTCGACTTTATATGATGTAGCCTAGTGAGTATAGACAATGACTAAATGGGCGTTTTATCGATAAAGACACTAAGCGTTAACTTCCATTTCAGATATTATACAATGAAATTCAGCATAGATGCTCAATTGTCAAGGAAATACCCATCCTCCAGGTCTATGGCTGCTGCTTGACATAGTATTAAAACAATGAGTACTATACAGAGTCCCATCAACTGCAGGGGACAAGTATCCGGGATTTAAATCTATATACACCGATGAACAAGAGATTGCAGGCACATTAAAAAGCATCGGCGAACCTAAGCGGCACCAGCCCTCTGCGCTTCTTCCTCGGCCTGCATCTCCTTCTCTAGAGCAGCGAAATCCCCTTCAAAAGCATTCCGAACTGGCTCTGTCCGGAGATCCCAGACATCCTCACTACTGGGCCCTGTCTTATACTTAATGGCCTTCTTGCGATAGTGGTCTCTGACTGCCTTCTTACGAGCACCATCCGACCACGTCCTGGTCTTCATACAAAGCCAGAAATTATCCCAGTGTTCACTGCACGAGCGTAGCTCGCCATATCGGTAAACATTGACAAACTGCCCGCCAAATGATTGACAGAAGAATGCGTAGTCGAATGCAGAACGACAGGACATTGTATCGGGGTAGATAGATTCGGGCGCTATGGATGACGGGAGTGATGATGCGGACTCTGGTGATTCTGCGGAGGACGACGACTCTTGCGATGCCTCAGATCCTTTATTGATGTCTCCCTCCAGGCTGGCTAGCAATTGCTTCAATTCCGCATCTGCTCGTTCTTCGCGAGTCAATGTCCGCGGTTGCGATGTAGGTGTCCCGGTGTTCTCTGGCGCCGGTTTCTTATCGAATGAAGAGATGATTTGCGGTTCGCTTTTGGTAGGAGAAGACGAACTCCACCACCAGCCCATGTTGTGTAAATGAATATTGTTGTCGGAGAATAAGGGCAAGAATCAGAGGTGGAGGTGGCTCCGGTGTTGAAGCGACAATTCGGTGAATTGATGAATGCATAACTGAATTAGCGCTGTAAATTTCATAGTTACATGAAATGACAATACCAGGGACACTTAACCAGGTCGGGTGCGGAATGCGGCTGTCCCGCAGTGTATTTATTATACGGTCATCTACGTCATACTCAAGACCAAGCTTGATGTTGATCAATATCGACTTCCTCAACAATGGCTCTACCATCTCAATGGCGACAACAATAAAGATGCGAAAATCATTCCCAGTGGCAATACCCCAAATCTATCAGACATCCTTGCGCTGGAGGGGGCCACCTCCCTCACTGTTTGTCGCAAAGCCCTCGCTCGCTCGCCTCAGTAGCGCATCGCATGCTTCGTATCTCGAGACGGGACATATTGATGTGAAGGAAAATGAGGGGTTACTGTTTGTCAATAGTATAGAATCTTGAAGTTGAATTCCCTAATAGTAGTATCGCAAGCTAAATTTGAACTATAACAGACATTTTCCCCCCGAAACTGCAATGGGTCTTGGAAGGGCCTCTCCGCGCAAGTCGATCGTACGAAGAGGCCTTGAAACGAATTGACAGACCGCACCTCGCAGCGTCTGAGCCCCTACGCATAATACGTCGTGTCTTTCCCCATGAGCTACAAGTTGAGATCAAAGAGGTCGTTCCGCGCTACAGAGAAGGCGGTGCACTTGTGAAATACACTCAGAACGACGGGGTTAAAGACACTGATATCGAGGCGGCTGTAAAGGATCATCTTGAGAAACACCCTATTCGACCTTGGTTCAATCCTTTCCAGCAGGTCAAGGTTTCCCGCGTCCTTGGAAGACCATGGGTAGAGGATTTATATCGCATACCGAGCCCTCGGCTGAGAGTTGAGTTCCTGCCGGGGAGCGCTAATGATTTAGCAAATGATCCTACTACGGAATCTTTGTACTCGCTGTTCCGCAGCTATGGGAAGCTGAGAGATATTGAAAGGCAACCGTCCGATTCCAAAATCCTACCACGGTACGCCTACGTAGAATTTGCTCGTCCCAAGTTCGCGGTTACGGCCAAAAACTGTATGCACGGATTCACAATCCCAGAGCAAGAAGGTGGCGGGAAGTCTGGCACAAGGTTAAAGATTAACTATGAGCGGAAGATCAAAATGTCAATGATTAAGGACTGGATCTTGAGCCATCCAAGGATAGTAATCCCTGCCGTCGCTGCCCTCATCGCGGCTATCACTGTGACTGTTTTCGACCCCATCCGTACCTTCTTTATAAAGATGAAGATAAAGGCAACGCTCCAGGCCGAAGAGAATGGTGTTCTGGGGTGGATTCGCAAGGAGGTTAGTAAGGCCAACATCATTGGCTTGGGTGGTGTGGCGTCTGATCCTCGTGGGCTCACCGCGATTTGGGAGGATCGTCAAGGGGATATTTCTCAACTGCAATCTTGGCTTACGGAGAATATGGAGACCTTCATCATCATACACGGTCCTCGGGGTTCTGGGAAACGGGAACTTGTTTTGGACCAAGCTCTTGAGAACTACAAATACAAGGTAGTCATTGATTGCAAGCAGATACAGGACGCCAGGGGTGACACTGCAAAAATTGCACGGGCAGCTGGGCAAGTAGGCTACTGGCCAGTGTTCTCCTGGATGAACAGCATTAGTAGCTTCATCGATCTAGCTGCACAGGGCATGATTGGTACCAAAGCGGGATTCTCCGAAACATTGGATGCGCAACTCAGCAATATCTGGCAGAGCACTGCCACTGCTCTGAAGGGAGTCACCTTAGATAGCAGGAAAAAGAACGATAAGGATGCACATCTCACAGACGAGGAGTATCTGGAAGCTCATCCCGAGCTCCGGCCAGTGGTGGTTATTGATAATTTCCTGCACAATGCTTCCGATGACGATGTCGTCTATGACAAGATCACCGAATGGGCCGCTGGATTAACAAACACCAATATTGCACACGTTATCTTCCTAACTACCGATGTTTCCTTTGCTAAACCTCTGAGCAAGGCTCTACCGAGCTCGGTCTTTCGAACAATTTCCTTGGGCGATTGCTCCCTTGAAGTCGGCAGGAGGTTTGTACTCAACCATTTGGCCGATGAAGCAGGGATGGGAGACAAGCCATCTAGAAGCAAGGAATGTTTAGAAGACCTAGACAGTTGTATTGAGATATTGGGAGGCCGGGTGACTGATCTCGAATTCATGGCACATCGTATAGAAGCGGGAGAAACTCCCAGTGGTAGGTAAGCCGCTTCGACTGACCTGATACATAGCTAACGAATGCAAAAGGCGCGGTCAACCGCATCGTAGAGCAGTCAACATCTGAAATACTCAAGATGTTTATCTTGAATACGAATACTGAGGCCCTATGGAGCCACGAGCAGGTCTGGCATTTGATCAAGATGCTGGCGAATAGCAAGGAAGGTAGCCTGCCATACAACCAAGTCCTTCTCTCAGACCTTTTCAAGGAAAACGGCGAGGCTGCGCTTCAAGCTCTTGAGCAGGCAGAACTTATCTCTGTCGGCTCTATCAACGGCTGCCCTGAGACGGTCAAGCCTGGCAAACCGGTTTATCGAGCCGTTTTCAAAAAGTTAACTGAGAATAAGACTCTCAGTAGTCGACTGGACCTCGAGGTTTTGTCACAGTTGATTAATAAGGAGAATAAAAGCATTGGGAAATATGAAGAAGAGCTACGTTTGCTTGGATCGCTGCCAAAACAGCCTCGAGAGCTAACCTCAAGAATCCAGTGGCTCTTACAAAAAGTATATAATTCGCAAAACAAGATTAGCAGGTACGAGACTGAGAGTGCGTTCCTCCAGATGATCCTCCGTAGAGGACATTGAAACGACTCTTTCTATACCTGCCTTTCTAGTACCGCCGGGCTTCTATAACGGTGGTGGCTGCACTTTTCTTCATTATTTTCTTTTGCTTCTCGCTTGACCCCTTTGCAGACATAAATAGTGATATGCAACAAATGGAATTATTTATGGGGTGGCCTCCAGCTGAGTAAGCTGTAATGTTACTGTATCATGTATCACGTCTTACCGGGAGAGTCTATCTAGCATTTACTCCTAAGTTTTCCCTATCACTCTTCATTAGATTTCGTACTCTCAACGACCTTCAAGTCATCCTTTGCTTTAAAGGTGGGCTTCTCTCGAAAAGTACTTGTTCCTCTTCTATTCTTTGGCCCCGTGTGGTCTGCTGGGTCTGTGCTTCGCCCTGTCTATATCTCTGCATTTCCCGCTGGACCGATTGTTTATTTGGTTTATTTTTCCTTTTGTCTTTAAGGGAAAGAAAATGGGAAAGTATGAATTCTCCCCTGATGGTCTGATCCCAAATGCCTGGAGTGGCTCATCGGAGCTGGTATGGCTATTGTTGGCAGCCGTCCTGGTCTTTTGCTGTATTGCAACACGTATCATCAGTGGATTCCAGAGTCGTGTCGACAGTAAGACTGAACAACCGCAATCAGTGAAGACGCTGCCGTATTGGTTTCCTTGGCTAGGTCATAGTCTTTCTTTTATATGGGACCACGTAAACTTCACGGAAAAAACCAGGTTAGTATCCATATAAGCCACAGAATTAGCCCCATGTGATCTGATTGGCGCTATAGAGATTATATGAATGCACCAGTGTTTGGAATCTACATGGGTGGCACAAAGCACAATACTATTGTGTCGCCATCCATGATGAAATCTATCGTGCAATCCAAAGCCACATCATCAGCTCCTCTAGTCAACCGTGCGCTGAAGGCATTTGGTGATGATCTGGGTTCACTGCGAGACCTGAATACTACTGACTACCAATCATTTCATCACAAGCTTCCCAATCTGCTCATGCGAGAACCATTTATAACGGAAGCTTCCGAAACTACTATTCAGCTTTTGAAACGCGAGATTCCAAATTTCGTCACCTTCTGCCGGAGCGTAGTTGATCAAACGCTGTGGGAGCGTGGGAGCGATGTCGAAGTTATCGATAACAACCGTGACAAGCCCGCTTGCGAGGCAAACCTGTTTGACCTTGTCAGGGGCTTCATCGGGAACATTACAACCACTACCCTCATGGGTCAAGCAATTCTAGAAGTCTTTCCCAATTTGCTTGATGATGTTTGGGTGCTGGACAATCGCTTCCCCCTTCTGGCAATTGGTGTACCTCGTTGGGCACCAATTCCTGGTGTGCCTGCAGCGTATGCTGCTCGTGATCGGATACTGAACTCTCTTGCCGCCTACCATCAAGCATTTCTCCAGTGGGATGATGGGGTAGACCCTGGCGTGAAATTCCGTGACCTCGAAGATGTTTCAGAGCCTCTGAAACAACGCATCCGGATGTCCAAGAACTTGGGGCTCTCACCAAGGTCCAGCGCACCCGGGCATTTGTCTTTGATCTGGGCGATGAATGTTAACTCTTCAAACATCGCCTTTTGGTACCTTGTCCGTCTTTACAATGATCCCATCCTCCTAGAAGAGATTCGAAAGGAAATCTTTCCTTACGTGAAGGCTCACAGGCCAAGTAGGGAGGAAACTGGCTTCCCTTTCGAAGAACCACCTAGAATCTCTTTTAATCTCGAAGGCTTGTTGAACTCTTGCCCCCTATTGAAGGCCAGTTTCTACGAAACACTTCGTTTGGATTCAGCAGACATGTCATTCCGAGAACTCACATCCGACTTGACCATCACAGAATCCAACGAAGACGTTGCAAACAGTGATGGGGCAAACCCCCATATATACAAAATCTATAAAGGCGAGAGTCTTATACTCCATCATGGAGTGCTCCAGAACGACTCTCGGTATTTCTCTAACCCCAGCCAGTTTGATCCACTGAGGTTTATCATAACTGACCCGGAAACCGGGGAAAAGAAGGCAGACATGCACACAATTCAACCATTTGGCGGAGGTGTGTCTGGATGTAAGGGGCGAACTTTTGCGGAGAGGCAGCTTTTGGCTTTCACTGCCGCAATGATCGCCATGTGGGACATTGAACCGATCGATGGCAGTCGGTTTACAGTCCCAAGGCATAGGCACTCTAGTGGCGCTTATTTGCCCGAAAATGACATTAGAGTACGTATAATAGCGCGTGTGTGATGATAATAATGATAATAGAGAAATACACCGTGAAACGTCGACAGTCACGAAGTGGGTAGGTCATACCACCGTTGGCCAGATTTTATCTCCATGCCTATGTACGTAGTGGCTTGCATAAGGGAAGGAAGATACTATGTTGCCCTGCCTATGGCTGTTTTTGTAAAGGGTGATGATGGCCCTTAATGCATCTATGATGGACAGGAATCGTGCGTTAGTGATGGGAGAATCCGAGTCTTAGGCTGACCACAACCACATATAGATCAATGGACACGAAACTACTAGTATTAACAACTAAAGACGCTGGCAAAATACCCGAGTTTCATGGATTTCCACTAGAAAACACTAACATGGAACTTGACCACCTTATCGTTAGTGTCTTGGAACCATTGCTGTCACTATTCGACGAAATCACTTCGGGAACACGTGACCGACAGAAATGGTGTAAAACAATATATACCATGAGGGTATGACGTTTCCCTGTACCCTCTTGTCGAGTTTTGGTCTCCAGCAAGGATTGGCTTGCATATTGGGGGGAACACATTATTTTCTGTTTTCCTGGATAAGTCTTTGTTGAAGCAGTATGAAAATATTCCGAGGATGTGTTCACCTGTCCTTTTGTAGACATTATCAACACATATTTAGGGGTTGATTCCAGTCGTTCGAATATCGCACAACTCACGGAAGCTGCTAATCGTGGTTTCCAGCTCGATAACAACTTAGAAAGTAAGTTTTCTACTATCAGCGTGCACAAAGCTTTTTATCGCACCCCACTAGTACGCTCCTGTGGAATTTCACGAGTACGAGCACCAAGGAAATGATTTGTGTCCGATCACTTGAAGCGTGTAGATTGACTGGTAGTCCGTACTATCATTTATCTTCCGCTTACCCATTTTGCTGCATTGCATCTATCTAGTAGTTTATCGATTTGCCACAAAAATATGCTGATAAAGGCTTAGATTGCGACAAGACTCTTACGCTCAGGCAATAGGTGGCGTTTCTCACTATTTGTTAAGGAGCTTTTAAAAAATCTTTGGAAGCCATCGTAGTCTGCGTGTGGTATGTTATATTTTGGTCATGCGAAGTTGCGGCGGGAGATGATTTCTTTTGGGCCCTAACATCATGCCCTAAGCCCTTGAACAGTACTAATTTGGGTTATTGGACATTGCGCGCGCGGGACGCGTCCCTGCGCGTCGGACAATAACCCAAAGCCCAACCGTACTCGGTAAGTAACCTGCGTTGTTAGGATAGACTACGATCTGCGCTCATTTTGACAGATATGTCGGATTGATATTTCTGAATGTGTTGTTATGTTCAATTCCAGGTAACTCTATTTTCATACCTGCCTTATCTCTGCAATGGCGTCGGACGCCATCCGTCCTAGGGGCAGACCAGCCCGTAAGTCTGTATATATCTTGACCTTCAGTATGGACGGCGTAGCTGATTTGGGAACAAATTTAGATACCCCCGGGACCACAGTTTTGGCATACACCCCGAACGGCCGTTGCGTTATCACTGGTGGCTCTAACTCTGCGATTCGAATTTACACTGTTGGGCAAGATGGCGAACCAAAGACTGTTGACGAGGGCGTTGATGGACACATGGGAATCGGTGCTACAGTATGTTATGTAGGCCTCAGGATGAAGTTGGTAAGATGCTAAAGACTATTGCAGAACGAGTCCTTCATCATGGGAGCGGAGGATGGTACCGTTTGGCAGTATGAGATTGAGTCTGGTCGAATGGAAAACTTGCTTGTTCGATGTGCGTTACCCGTGCGAGACATAGCGGTCTCAAATGATGGTGAATGGGCTGCAGTGGCAAGCGAGTTAGTAGTCTGTGCGCAGTAGCTCTGGGAGACCTAGATGACTGATTTTGGTACAGTGAACTCACGGTGAAGATCGTCAAGATTGAGGATATGACCAAAGTGAAGTATCTTCGGGAACAAGCTAAGGGAACGAAACATGTCACCTTCGATCCAAGCGGGCGGTATCTCACGGTATCGTGTACAGACGGTATACTGTACATTTATTCATTGGTCGCTGAGGAGCCGGAACTCGTACGGAAACTTGATGGAGCTATCCGAAGGCTTGAGCCAGAGGACGAAGCAACATCGAGGGTGGTATGGCATCCAGATGGGACGGCATTTGCAGCTGCAGAAGCCACCAGGGATATTGCAATTTTCTCCACGAGCGAGTGGAAGAAGGAGAAGATCTTCTCTGGCGGCCACAATGGCGATGTTACAGCAATCAGCTGGTCCCCGAATGGCGCACTTCTGGCGACTGCAGGTGCGGATGGTCAAGTCCTGCTATGGGAAACCAAGACACAAAAGGTACTACAGAGATACGACTTTTCGAACGTGATTAATCTTGCCTGGCACCCTTTTAATAATTCTTTATCGTTCACAACATCGGATGGAGAGCTATTCATATATGATGGGATTGTCTCAAGCGAACACCAGCCGTTGCTCCAGAAGCCGCTTCAGGCAGCACCGATCTTTCCAGGGCCTTTAGCGGAAATATCTGACAATGTGACACGACCATTAACGAACAGATCGAAGGAGTCGATCGAGCGGCGAGCAGGTACTCCTGACACTCTTGATGATATCCTTGGCTCCGACCAAGGGATGGAGGACTTCGTCGACGACGATGATGGCGCTGGATACGCGGAAGGCATTAATGCATTTGGCAAGCGGACAAATCAACATTTGGACGAGATCGATGGCCATGCTGAGAAGCGGCTTTTAACCTCTTACTCCAAACCTAAAACCCACCCGTCGCTTCAGCCTGGCAGTACCCCATGGCGAGGTAACAGACGGTATCTCTGTATGCATCTCAAATATTCACAGTTAGCTCCTAGTGACATACTAATTGACTCGGCTAGGCCTAAATCTGACGGGTTGTGTTTGGACCGTTGACCAAGAGACCCATAATACGGTGACGGTAGAATTTTACGATCGAGAACTCTACCGTGACTTCCACTTTACCGATCCGTACCTCTACGATCGCGCGTGTCTCAGTAAGTCGAATGAACGTATGGCTCTGATGAAATCTTGCTCACTGGACCTAGATGAGCACGGAACTCTCTTCTCCAATAACCCCACAGATGATAATCCTGCCACCATATTCTATCGTCCCCATGAAACATGGACCACGAGAGCGGACTGGCGGACACAACTGCCCAGGGGAGAACTCATCAGAGGTAGAAGCACAACTGGCCACCCTTCATTTCGTTGCTGACTTGGTGAAAGCATTGGCACTCAGTGATTCTTATATCGTCGTCGTAACGACAAAAGATTATGTTCGTGTTTATACATTATTTGGAACACCGTTCAAGGTGTACAGGCAGAAGAGCCCAGCGGTGGCATGCGTTGCATGGAGGGACTATGTTATGACTATTGGGAACGGTCCCGTAGGAAGCGACGGCCGCACGGCAACCTTGCGGTATTCTGTCGAGAATGTGAAAAGGGATGAAATTTGTCAAAACGAGGATATTGTAGCACTCCCCGAAGGCGCAGAACTGCAGAGTGTTTTCTTCTCAGACACGGGGGTGAGTGGATCCCAAGGTAGGACTTCTCATTCTGCAGATGCTAACTTAGATGCAGGACCCATGTATTTACGATTCTGAGGGTGTCCTCCTTATTCTACAACACTGGCGTAACCCTGGCCAAGCTCGCTGGGTTCCACTCCTCGATACCACGCAAATGGAGCGACTTGCAAGCGGTCGCAAAGAGGAAACGTATTGGCCTGTTGCAGTCGCACAGGACAAATTTCATTGCATCATTCTGAAAGGAGGCGATCGATACCCATACTTCCCTCGCCCTTTGCTCAGTGAATTCGATTTCCGGATTCCAATATCTGAAACGCCAGGAAAAGGAGTCGGGGAAGAAGGGCTTATACAGAGTGATGGTGGGAAATTTGAAGAAGCCTTTATTCGTGGCAGCGTTATGCTTTCACTCTTTCAAGATCTTCTAGGATCTACAAATGCCACGTCGACTCAGCGTGCTGAGTTGGCTAGGAAAGAACTCGAGTTGGATAAGATCCTCTTGCAGATGTTAGCAGTTGAATGCCGAGAAGGAGAAGAGCGGGGAATGAAGGCTTTGGAGTTAGTCCATATGATGAAGGACCGCAATGGCAAGATGATTGAGGCTGCTGTCAAGGTCGCAGAGCGATACGGCCGGGGCGTGTTGGAAGATAAAATCCGGGAATTGGCGGAGAGAAGGCACATGAGGGAAGGGGATGACGATGAACTAGCTTGATAATCACTTTGTTATGCGTATTGTGAGCTGAGTCGATACCATTTATTAATCTATTGATCTGGCGTGATACGTTCCACCGCATGTAGATTCTTCTTGGGAAGTTGGGCTGGCCAGTTGATGTTCTGTGGGCCGCGACGTCATCCGCGGAAGGGAAAGATACCTATCAGTCTGGGCCTTTTCCCTCACCATCAGGTATGTACCTTCAACAACTCATGGCTTAACAAAGGCTGCTGTCGTCTGGTGCAGCCTGGACTTCTCTTCTTATTTTCCCCTTTAATAACCTTCAATATCATTCTTTTCAATGTGTGAGACGGAACGCTTTCCTCCGTGATGCAGAAACCAGTCCCTATGCCCGCAGCTCCATACATCGCCACCATCAGGAATGCGTGGAATGGGCCAGGTTCTCTTGCTAGGTCTCGCCAACACTTCTTCTCACCCGTCACACACCCTCTGGCTTCCTCACGTCATGCCATCCCGAACGAACCCTGGTTGGCACCCTTGTCCCCAACACTTTTCTCACAAACGCGGTTTCGACCGTCGGTGTCGGACGGGCTGAACGGAAACTCCATCAGTGACCGTAAACCACCGGATGAACGGGTCCTGAAATTGGGAAGAAGTAAGTTTTGTGCAGGCGATGTACGTTATATGATCTTTTGATCCACATGCTTACCATGGCCTCAACCTCCGGCAGCGCTTCGAACCCTTTCTCCTCTCCTACCCACCCTTCTTATCAATCCCCTGCCTCCTA